TCGTCAACCCGAATGATATAACAAGGAACTCATAGTGCCCATACCGAGTGCGGAAAGCTGTCTTAGGGACATCAGATGCCCTAATCCTCAAATGATGGTAGCCAGATCTCAAGTCAATCTTCGAAAATACCTTGGCACCCTGAAGCTGATCAAACAAATCATCAATCCTCGGCAATGGATACTTATTCTTGATTGTAACCTTGTTCAACTGCCAGTAATCAATACACATCCTCATCGATCCATCCTTCTTCTTAACAAACAACGTCGGCGCATCCCAAGGCAAACATTAGGCCTAATGAAACCTTTTTCAAGCAAGTCTTGTAACTGCTCCTTCAACTCTTTCAACTCAGGCGGGGCCATACGATACGGCGGGATAAAAATAGGTTGCGTGCCCGGAGCCAAATCAATGCAAAAGTAAATATACCTATTGGGTGGCATACCCGGCAGGTCTGAAGGAAAAACCTTAGGAAACTCATGAATAACAGGCATAGAATCAATAGAAGGAACCTCAGCACTAGAATCACGAACATATGCCAAATAGGCAAACACCCCTTCTTGACCATACACCGAGCCTTTACATAAGAGATAACACTACGGGTAGAATGACCAGGAGTCCCTCTCCACTCTAAGCGAGGTAAACCCGGCAAGGGTAAGGTCACAGTCTTGGCATGATAGTCCATGATAGCGTGGTAAGGTGATAACCAGTCCATCCCCAATATGACATCGAAATCAACCATGTCCAGAAGCAACAAATCTACATGAGTCTCAAGACCCCAATCAGGACTATACATGAACGATGGACTCGATCTACCACAATAGAATCACCCACCGGTGTAGACACATAAACATGAGCACTCAAAGAATCACTAGGAATGACTAGATACGGTGCAAAATAAGATGACACATACAAGTATGTCGACCCTGGATCAAATAACACTGAAGCATCTCTATCATAAACCAGAACCGTACCTATAACCGCATCAGAAGCCTCAGCCTCGGGCCTAGCTGGAAGCATATAACATCGAGGCTGGGCCCCAGCACCCTGAGCTACATCTCTGGGACAGCCTGCTACTGGCTAGCCTCCACCTCTAGCGGCCTGAGCTCCACCTCCAATACCTCTACCTCCACCTCTAGCACATCTACCCCCACCTCTAGATGGCTGAGCGGGTTGTGGGACACTTGGTGCCTGAACTATGGCACGTGAACCCTGATGCTGAGAGCTACCCGGTGCTCAAGGGCAAAACCTAGCAATGCTCGGCTGCTGAGACTACTGGCCCTGACGACCTGAATGACCACTCCAAAAACTCTGAAGTGGCGGTGCACTGATAGGAGCAGGTGGTGCAGTGTAGGACTGCTGATCAGAATATTGCATCTAAGGACCTCGGCCACCTGAAGTACCGTGAGAAACCTAGAGTGCTGACTTAAAAGGCCTAGGAGGATGGCCTCTACCATACGAATCTCTACCTCCAGACAAGGTACCACTGAATCGACCTGAATGACGAGGCCTTTTATCCGACCCATGACCACCTCCCTGTGACAGAACCATCTCAACTCTCCGGGCCACATTAGTCGCCTTCTGGAAAGATATCTCACTCCCAACCTCCCTAGCCATCTGAAGATGAATCGGGTGAATAAGTCCATCAATGAACCTCTTCGCCCTCTCTCCCTCGGTGGGAAGAATGATAATAGCATGACGAGCCAAGTCGATGAATTTGGTCTCATATTGGGTAACAATCATAGAACCCTACTGGGGGCGCTCAAACATCCTCCGATAGGCCTCTCTCTGAGTGATGGGGAGAAACTTCTCTAGAAATAGCTGCGTAAACTGCTCCTAAGTCAAGGATGGCGATCCGGCTGGTCTATCTAAGCAATAATCTCTCCACCAAGTCTTGGCGGATCCAGATAAGCAAAAAGTAGCAAAATCGACCCCATTGGTCTCAACCATCCCCATGTTCCTAAGAAACTCGTGACAACTGTCTAGATAATCTTGGGGATCCTCGCACCGCTGAAAGTAGTAGTGAAGAGCTTGGTGAACCTATCCAACCTCCACAAAGCATTAGCAGACATAGCTGCTCCATCACCGGTCTGAGCTACCACACTCGGCTGAACTGCTCCAACTGGTTGAACCACTGGAGTCTGAATTTGGGGAGCTACCTGTTCCGGAGTGCGAGTAGCAGGAGTCTGGGCTCCTCCTCCAACCTGAGAGACGGCTGGTGCTACATGAAGCAAGCATGCTCGGGTGACACTCTCCATGAGGCCCACTAGATGGACCAGAGCATCCTGAAGAACTAGGGTAGCAATAAACCCCTCTGGGACCTGAGCTGGGACCACCGGAACTGCTGGGGCTGAAACCTCATTATCAAAGTCAACCTGAGGCTCCGCCACTAGCTGCTACTCGGGGTTGAGCTCTGCCCCTACCTTGTCCTCTAGCACGGCCTCGACGTAGCCCTCTGCCCCACGTGGGAGCTGCTGCTGGGGGCTCGGGGCAGTTGATCAGTGGATGAGGAAGCACGTGTTCTCGCCATCTACGAAAGAACAGAGTAAAAATTCAATTAGCATTGAGAAACCAAACCGCACTATAAGAGAGAATAAATGTGAAGTTGCTCCTAACTCTGTAGCCTCTAGGGATAAATACGGACATCTCCGTACCGATCCCTCAGACTCTACTAAGCTTGTCTATGAACTGTGAGACCCATGTAACCTAGAGCTCTTATACCAACTTGTCATGACCCGGATTTCCCACCCTCGGGAGTAATGATGGCGCCTACTAATGAGAGCTACAAGTCAATCCTTAACTACTTACTTCATTATCAAATTACTTCTTTTTAACAAATATAAGGCGATAACAGGAAAAATTGTGAAACATTAAATAACTAAGCGGAAGATAATAATTAAACATCTAAAATCTATGTCTATTACAATTAATTAAGTCTCAACTACCCAAAACCTGGTGCCACAGTGTCACAGACGGTCTAAGATTTACTACATACAAAGTTTGAAGAAATAATAATACACTGTTTCTGAATGTAAGGAAAATGAAATAGGAAAGTAGGGATAAAGGGAGACGCTAGGGCCTGCGGACGCCTGCAGGTCTACCTTGGATCTCCGCGTGGACTGAAGGTAACCTCCACACTACGTTCCAAAAGCTACTCCGGGATCTGCACATAGTGCAGAGTGTAGTGTCAGCACAACTGACCCTATGTGTTGGTAAGTGTCTAGCCTAACCTCGGAGAAGTAGTGACGAGGCTAGGACCAAACTACCAAATAACCTGTGTAGTTCAAATACATATACATCGGAAAGAAATACATAACTAACCAGTCAATATGGGAGGGCAAGCATGATGTGGGGGAGATAACAATTCCGAATAGAAAGACATCAAGTAATGAAAGAAACAAAATAACTTGGATATCGACAAAGTATGAGAAATCAACAAATGCACGACATCACCCTTCGTGCTTTTACTCTCGTCCTCACCAAAGCAATCATATAATAAAAATGTGCACGACATCACCCTTCATGATTTTACTCTCTTTCCTTACCATATAATCAATAAAATCAGCACGGAATGGTACATCGTGCGGCACGACATCACCCTTCGTGCTTTACACTTGATAGTAGGCTATATAGTTGATATTTACACCTCAATATAACCATACTTTGTTGTTATTTTATAGATAAATTGCCAACAAAATTCTCTAAATAGTGTTCTTTTGTTTAGCAGTGAATATTATATGAGAGGAAGCAACATGGAGTGTTTTGGAGGCGATAATGTGAAGAAAAACACCCACTCGAGAAGTACCCGAACACAAAGAAGCATAAATGGCCTGGCAAGAAGGCCATCGCGACCGCGGTAGATTAACAACGTAAGGTAGAAAGGTCAGCATTCACCGCGGTCGACCGCGGTTGACCGCGACCGCAATGCACTGTTCACGCTACTGGAAAGTTTGAGGACCAAAGTGTAAAATCGGGAAAACTTTTGTAAAACCCTTATATGCTTTAGAAACTCGTCCAAGATTGTGCTAAGCTGATTTTAGACTACTTTTGGAGGCAAAAACAAGAGTGAGAAGATCAACCAAACATTAAAGTTTTTCTATCTCCTTTTAATTCTTGCAATTTTACATTATGAACAATTTAGTAGATTTCTCTTATTTTGTTATGAGTAGATAAATACTTATCTAGGGTTGATGGAACCAATTGTTGGTTGACGTTTTGACTCAAGTTGTTATAATCGAGCTGGATTTATGATATGATTGTTCAACTACATTTTGTATGGTGATTAATTGAATGGGCCCTTGATTAATCGTGTCTAATTACCTTATATTGCTTGAGAAAGAATATTAGGTTAGATAGCTATTGAACAACACCACTTTTGGGTATTTGAAGAGATTCATTACTTGAACTTAAAAGTGGGTTTAGAGATAACAAACTTTGGTGGGATAATTTAGAGTTGCACACATATTGTCAGCTAGAGTAGTTCGAGAGAATGCTCTAGTAAATTATTGTAGTTGATAACCCATAACTCTTAATCCTCATAGAGTATTACAGCGAGATTATAACAGAAGAGTCAAGACCTAAACTAGCAATTGGGGAAATCACTGCCCTAGACCTTTTTTACCATTGAATTATCTTTGTTTTAGCATAGTGTTGTGTTTTAATAGTAGTTGAAGTAGTTAAACAAAAACCCAATCTTTATTGATCAAAAATCTTGCATCTAGAGATTGATTGAGTTGATAATAACATTGTCGTATAGTGTAATAGATAGGTTAGTTCCCTGAGGATTCGATTCCGGACTTAAAACCGGATTATATTTGCAGCGACCGCTTTGTCCTTTAAAAGGCATAGTTGGGCGATATCAAATTTTGGCGTCGTTGTCAAGGAGCTGACGGTGTTGTTTATTACAACTTAGAAGTAGTGTTAAAATTATTAGTTCAAATCAATTTCCAAAGGTGTTAAACAATTTTCATTGAAATTCTAACGTTTGAACTCTTGTGGAATTCAGGTGTATGCCTAGAAATTCTTCGAGGAATGGAGAACTGCTTGAAGGACTTTCAGACCCCGAGAAAATATTCAGAGGCATTGAACCGTGCCAACAAGAGGATCCAACAATCACAACAACCACACCAGCTTGAAATTGACATGGGTGACGTAGAGAATGCCAACGGAAACATCAGGGATTAGCCAACTGACCCAAACGTCAGAGTGGTGGCACCTCTTGTGCCAGAAGCTACACTTTATGATTGGGCTCAAACCACAGCTGACAATCTGGCAACTACCATAGTTGTGCCTGCAATTCAAATGGAGACATTCCAGATCACCAACAATATGTTGCATCTGCTACAGAATAAAAGATTGTTCTCCAGGTCACATATTGAAGACCCTCAGCAATATTTGAAAAACTTTCTGTCAATTTGTGTGACTCAAAGGCAGCCAAATGTGACCCCAGAAGCTATCAAGCTATTATTGTTCCCATTCTCTGTGACTGGGTAAGCTCAGACTTGGCTGAATTCACTCCCAATCAATTCCATTGTCACCTGGGAGGAATTAGTAAAACAGTTCCTGAATAAGTTCTACCCGCCCAACAAGACTGCAAGGCAGATTGATGAAATATTGCAGTACAAGCAGTAGCCGACTGAGACCTTGCAAGAAACTTGGGAAAGATTTAAAGGGATGCTGGTGAAGTGTCCTCACCATGGCATTCCAGACCAGATGCTTGGCCAGAGATTCTACATGGGGTTAGCTGACAATCTAAAGGCCAATGTGGATGCTTCAGCTGGAGGTGCATTTTTGAGTAAGACATTCACCGAGTGCAAAGTCCTTCTTGACAAGATGTCCCAAAATTCGGGGTGGATGACTAGAGGTACAACACTAGCACCCATAGTGCATTCAGTTCCTCTTGACCCAAATAATTCGCATGCAGAGAACATGGCCACACTCATGACTCAGATGAGTATTTTGACAAAGAAGATAGACGAGATGGGTACCAAACATGTGCATTTTGTTGACACGACAAATGGAGGACTGTGTACACCCTGTGTTAATCAGTCTTATGTGTGTTCATGGAGCGGAGAAGGTGAAAATCAAGGGGCAAGGGAAGATATGAATTATGTTAACAACTTTGGGGGTCAGAGAAAAGGAGGACAACAGTGGAGACCGGCACCAAATCAGCAATACAAACCCAACATGCCTCAGCCTGGGGGCATGCAAGTTCAAGGCCAAATAGTGCCATACCACCAGAGACAACAGGGCTACCCACAACAGAACTAGCAACAGTTGACATATCAACCACCTCCTCAGCAACAAGATAACAACATGGTAGAGATCAGGGGGATGCTCCAGCAACTCATTGGGACAAATGATAAGATGCAAGAAAAGTTGGCAGTACATGATTCAGCTATAAAGAACATTGAAACTAAGTTAGGGCAGTTGTCTATGGTTTTAAACAACTGCCCTCAGGGAACATTGCCAGCAGACACAAATATTAACCCTAAGGAGCAAAACCCGAATCAGCTAATGGTAGTAAGTCTCCGGAATGGGAGAGATTTAGACAAAGAGCAGGAGGTTGCACAAGCCAGCAAAAAGACTATGTCAGCCACTCCAATTCCACTAGAGGTAGATGAACCATCAAATCTGATTGAAGTGGTGGTTGAACAGGGTCAAGATGAAAAGGGTAAGGCTAAGGTAAATGAACAAGTTGCAGAACAGGTGGTGCCTCTTGTGCCACAAAACCCCAACAGAGAGAAGCCAGCAAGCAGTGCACAAAGGGTGATACCTGCACCATTCCCTCAGAGACTGGTAAAACAAAGGAAGGAATATCAATACAAGAAATTCATAGAGATGCTGCGTCAAATTCAGTTGAATATTCCTTTGAGGGATGCCTTGAGGGAGATGCCAGGTTATGCGAAGATGATGAAAGACATAATGTCACGGAAGTTTGATTTTCAGGACCTATCCACAGTGACTCTGACGCAGACCTGCAGCGCAGTAGTGACCAGACCGATGGCTCAAAAGATGTCCGACCCAGGTAGCTTCACTATTCTATGCACGATTGGGAGTTATGCCTTTGCAAAAGCATTATGTGATTTGGGAGCCAGCATAAATTTGATGCCTCTGGCTGTATATACCAAACTGGGCATTGGCAGAGCTAGACCGATTTCGATGTTACTACAGCTGGCTGACTGCATGGTAAAAAAGGCGTACTAGGATTCTTGATAATGTGTTGGTGCAAGTGGGGAAGTTTGTGTTCCCTGCAGACTTTGTTATTTTGGACTGTCAGGTAGATGAGGAGATACCTATCATTTAGGTAGGCCATTTTTGGCCACTGGGAGAGCACTGATCGATTGTGAGACTGAGGAATTAAAAATGAGACTGAACGATGAAGAAGTCATATTCAATGTTCAGCAATCTATGAGGAGACCTAGTGAATATGCTAATTGCTCTCTAGTGGAGGCAGTGGATGTGATCCTTCAAGAAGATGATGTAACCCTGATTGCTAAAGATCCATTAGAGGCATGTCTGAAAAATTTAGAAGAGATGGATGGTGAAGGGTTAGCTGAGTGGGTCATGGCACTTGAAGGCCAAAGATTCTGGAAAAGGGAACCTCAGTTCGAGTCCTTTGAGTTAGAAAAAAGGGCTACACCTCCAGCAAAGCCATCAGTAGAGGAACCACCCAAGCTGGAGCTGAAGCCGCTCCCAGCTCACCTCAGGTACATTTTCTTAGGCCCTGATTCTACTTTGCCTGTTATTATATCATCCGGTTTGCTAGATGTGCAGGTAGAACAGCTCTTACAGGTACTGCAGGAAAGTAAGACTGCCATTGGTTGGACCATGGCAGACATAAAGGGTATCAGCCCAACCTTCTGTATGCAGAAGATTCTCTTGGAAGAAGGGCACAAACCTTCCAGAGAACATCAACGAAGGCTGAACCCGAACATGAAAGAGGTAGTAAAGAAGGAAGTGATCAAATGGTTAGATGTGGGAATCATCTTCCCCATCTCTGATAGCAATTGGGTCAGCCCTGTCCAATGTATGCCAAAAAGGGGGGGAATGACTATTGTGCAAAATGAGAACAATGAGTTGATCTCAACTCGTACAGTCACGGGATGGCGAATTTGGATGGATTACTGAAAATTGAACACAGTCACCCGGAAGGACCACTTCCCCTTGCCTTTCATTGACCAAATATTGGACAGGCTGGACGGGCGATCGCACTTCTATTTTTTGGATGGATATTCAGGGTACAGTCAGATATCAATAGCCCCCGAAGATAGAGAGAAAACATCCTTCATTGTCCGTATGGCATCTTCGCCTTTCGGAGAATGCCTTTTGGGACCGGCGACATTTCAACGGTGCATGTTAGCCATTTTCACAGACATGGTGGAGGATATTATGGAGGTCTTTATGGATGATTTCTCCGTGGTGTGAAATTCATTCGAGGACTGTCTTCACAACTTAAGAAGAGTGCTCAAAAGATGTGTGGAGACAAATTTAGTGTTGAACTGGGAGAAGTGCCATTTTATGGTACAGGAATGGATAGTCCTGGGGCATCGAGTGTCCAGTAAAGGAATTGTGGTCGATCATGCTAAGGTTGACGTGATTGAAAATTCACCACCGCCCACTTCAGTCAAGGTGGTGAGAAGTTTCCTTGGGCACGCCGGGTTCTACAGGCGATTCATAAAAGATTTTTCCAAAATTGCTAACCCATTATGCAAACTCCTTGAAAAGGATCACCCTTTTGTGTTTTCTAATGATTGCAGGTTGGCATTTGAGGAGCTGAAGAAAAGATTGGTGACTGTACCCATCATTGTTGCACCCAACTAGGAGCAACCATTTGAGCTCATGTGTGACGCAAGTGACTATGCCATAGGAGCAATCTTGGGGCAGTGAAAGGGTAAACTGATGCATCCGATTTATTATGCAAGCAGAACGCTAAGCGGTGCACAACTCAATTACACCGTGATAGAAAAGGAGATGTTGGCTGTTGTTTTTGCATTCGATAAATTCAGGTCATACTTGATTGGCTCGAAGGTTATTGTTTAAACTAACCATGCAGCAATTAGGTACCTGGTAGAAAAGAAGGAGTCAAAGCCATGCTTGATTCGCTGGGTTCTTCTATTGCAAGAATTTGATCTGGAGATACGTGATAGAAAAGGGACAGAGAACCAAGTAGCTGACCATCTTTCATGGTTGGAAGGAGCTGAAAAGAAGGTAGAGGTTGAGGATATAACAGAGACATTCCCGGATGAACAGTTACTGGCAATGACAATGGAGGAGGCACCATTGTATGCTGATATTGCTAATTATTTAGCAAGTGGTATTGTACCTTATGAACTCTCCTCAATACAAAAGAAAAAGTTCTTTCGTGATTGTCGGTATTATTATTGGGATGAACCTCTATTGTTTATAATATATGTAGATAACATGATCTGGCGGTGTATCCCCGAGAAATATCAACATTCTGTTTTGCAGGCTTGCCATACTTCACCATATGGTGGACACTTTGGAGGGACTCGGACAGCAGCTAAGGTGTTGGAGTCAGGCTTGTACTGGCCTACTCTGTTCAAGGATGTCCATGCTTGGTTTAAAATCTGTGATGATTGCCAAAGGACTAGCAACATATCTCGTAGACACGAGATGCCAATGACCACAATTCAAGTGGTGGAGATTTTTGACATGTGGGGGATTGACATCATGGGGCCATTCGTCAGCTCGTATGGTAACAAGTACATATTGGTAGCAGTTGACTATGTCTCCAAGTGGGTCGAAGCAGTGGCTCTCCCGACTAATGATGCAAAAGGGGTACTAGGCTTTCTAAAGAAGAACATTTTCACACGTTTTGGTACCCCAAGAGCTATACTCAATGATGGCGGAACCCATTTCTGCAATAGAGCATTCGCACGTCTATTGGAAAACTATGGAGTTAGTCATAAAGTGACCACCCCGTACCACCCACAATCGAGCGGGCAAGTTGAAGTGTCCAACATGGAGATTAAAAGTGTCCTCACAAAAACAGTGAATGCAACAAGGACTGACTGGACAAAGAAATTGGATGATGCATTATGGGCGTACCGCACAACCTTCAAAACCCCAATTGGTATGTCACCGTACAAGTTGGTGTTTGGTAAGGCATGCCACCTCCTAGTTGAGCTAGAGCATAAAGCACTTTGGGCATTACGGCAGTTAAACTTAGACATGGAGACAGCAGGGACTAACAGAATCACTGGGTTACATGAACTCGAGGAATTCAGGTTCCAGGCCTTTGAGAGTGCTAGATTATACAAAGAAAGGATAAAATTAATGCATGATAAGCACATCTTGGATCGAAACTTCAAACCCGAAGATCTAGTGTTGTTATATAACTCGAGATTGAGATTGTTCCCAGGTAAGTTAAAGTCCCAATGGTCAGGACCCTTCAGAGTGGTGCAATTGTTCTTAAGTGGAGCTGTAGAGATTGATTCAGAAGATGGGACAAATAGGTTCACAGTAAATGGGCAAAGATTGAAACATTACCTTGGAATGGCTGAAGAAAAAAGGGATAAAGTAGTAATCACTTTGGAAGAGCCCCAGTACGCGAATGAGGAGTGATGATCAAATGCTTGCATCGTGCCGCGATGTTAAATCAGGCGCTGCATGGGAGGTAACCCATGAGTGTTGTTGTTAGTGTGTTAAAAAAAATGCTCCAACACCGCGACCGCGGTGGAAGGCAAACTCTCTGCCTCAAATTCTACATCACACCGCGACCGTGGTGGACCGCAGTAAACCGCGATGAGGGGTGAACTTTCTGCCTCACGATTTTAAACCCACCGCGACCACGGTGGACCGCGGTCGACCGCGGTGGGTACCAGGTATTTTAATTTATTTTTTTTGCATTTTTCTTTTCTCTTTTCTTCCTCTTTTAATTTCAAAACCCCCTTAAACCTAAAATACCCTATCCTCTCCCCCAAATTTTCAATCTCTCCCTCTCTCTAAACCCTAACCACCCAAATACTCTCTACTTCTTCTTCTTCTTCTTCCTCATACTAACATCCCCCACCTCCATTCCTCTCACCCATTCTTCAACTACGGTATGTTCCTCACCTCTTCCCTCTCTTTTCTTTGGTATTGTGTTGTAGTTTATGTAGTTTTATCTTGTGTTGGGATGTAATTGTTGGTATATTCGTTTTCTTCTTGTTTTTGCTTTTAAATTTCGTTTTTGAGTTTGATTGGTGAAGGGGCTGTGCATTGCATGTTTGAAAAAGTGTTTATTGGTGGGTGATTGAATGAAGTGAGTGTGGGGTGTGTTGGTGTGGTAGTATACTTGATTGGGGAGGAGATTTGATGTACCCATGAGGGCTATATGTGTTTGGATAGTGCCCTGCTCACAAGGTGTTTGGGAAATTGCCCCGATGGAGATATAAGGAGCTATTGTTACATGGTTATGGTGAAGTCTGAGTAACCATCCATAATCACATATTTTGCACACTCACTAATAGGCGTTTCGTTGTATGACAGGTACAATGAGTTCTTTCAGGAAGAGACGAAACACCGGATCCTCCACTAGCGGACCGGGAGGCTCCTCACGAGCTAGGAGCCAAGCCAGTGCACCTCAGTTTGATAGCACTCGGTTTGTATCCAAATTAGCGGAGGATAGGTACAACCAGAAAGTACCTAAGAAGTTGCAACCTGAGGTGCACATTGATCGAACGGCTTTGGAGGTGGAATGCCCCAATATGTTTAATGAGCTAAGGCGGTGTCAGCTGGACATCTTCTTCAAGGTACCGGAGGAGGCTAATGTTCAAATAGTAAGGGAGTTCTATGCAAACTTGCCAAAACATGAGAATGGGGTTGTGATGGTGTGCAATACCCCGGTAAACGCATCCCTCGACACCATCTGCAGGGTATACAGGCTGCCAGTGTTCGGTGAATTTGATCCTTATCGTACTTTTAGCGGTACACGGGCCTTGTGGGGAACTCTTCTTGATACTATCTATGTGCCGGACGGAGAACACCTATGGATCAAGCATAGGATTACTCTCAACTCCCACTGTCTAAATTGGGAGGCTAAGTGTTGGCTCACCATTGTCAACAGTCGATTGTTGCCATCTAGCAACACGACAGATGTTAATATACCACAGGCATCAGCAATCCGCTATTTTATGTCCCACGGTGATTTTGATGTGGCCCGGCTCATCCATGAAGAGATGTTCATTAGATCACCTGAGTTGTCCAAGGGCCACTACTTCCGTTCGCTAATCACCCAACTATGCAGTATTGCTAGAGTCCCTGAAGACCCTCGGGTTGATGGGAGATTGCCACTAAAAGCCCCGTTCCAAGCGAAAAAATTGGAATTGGACGAGAGCCGGTGGTGAATGTTGATGACTCTGATGATGATTCAGCTGATGATGATGATGATGCTGAGGTAGCTGCGGTTCCTCCTCCTCCGAGAGTTGATGTGGCAGGCCCATCACAGCCATGCCGGAGCACCCGTATGATAGCTTTGGAGCAGGATATGGCTGGGTTGCGTACCTCAGTCACTGATTTGGGTGCATGTGTTGATGCGGTGGCTGAGAGGCAAGTGAAGTCGGAGAAGAAATTCTTGGGCTGGTTCAGAGCGCTGGGACGTGCGTGCAACGTGAACCCAGACACCGTCTCCGATTAGGAGTGAGCCTTCAGGGAAGTTCCTTAACCTCACTGTTCTTTAAATTTTTAAGCCATGGGGACATGTCTCCATTTTATGTGTAGGGTGGGGGATACTTCATTGTATGTTTGTAATTGTAACAATTGAATGTTTGATTTTGTTTGTTTTGTCTTGCTTTGATTGTTTTAATGTTAGAGTAATAGTTCATTAGGAAAGTTAAAATAGTAAGTGACTTGTCCCGACGACGGATCTCTTTCGGCAGGGTTCTTGAGGGACTAAGTCGAGAAAAAAATTGGAATATGGAGACTCTTCCTGATGACGGATCCTTTAGACAATTTTCTTGAGGGAAGTTAGCCTAGAGAAAAGACCAAAAAGATTTTTTTATTTTATTTTAGGTAGTGTAGTAACTCCCCCTTGGTTTTGGGCCACGGTTATTTTCCAAGGGTTTAGCTTGAACCGGGTATAGGTAGTTTTTATTTATTTTTGTACTTTTTAGTTTTTAGAGTAGGACTAATGGGCTACGAGCTAAATTCGAAGGAAAACCCTTAGCGTTGATACACCTTAGCACAAGAGACACTAGAGTATAATGCCTAGCTTCATTTGTTGAATCTTGTTAGAGTGCCTTAAAATTGTCCATTTGTATCGAACTTGAACACTCAAAAGAGAATGTCTTGATAAACCAATCCGGAGTGAGTCATGTGCCACGTGTGTGTGAGTTTTACTGTGTTCCATGTTTCATATTTGATGCCTAGAACTTGCCCTGTGTGTTTGCAAAGCGAAATAGTAGTTTCTTTTAGTTTTAGAAGTGATATAGGCATTTGTTTGTTGATCCAGACATATAAAGTAAACCCACTTGAATGCAATACAGCTCAGTTAACCTCGTTGAGCCTATAAGCCTA